GATAGAATTTTCTCTCTGGGTCCAAAGACAATAACATGTCTCCAGGATGCAGACTACCCAGGGAAGGGCCCTGGAGTCAGCCAGGGGCTTCCTTTTATATCCTTCCCTCTGACTTCATGGGCCTGGCAATGGGAAGCAGCTGGTGACTCTGTCTCTACTTTGGAGCCCCCTGCCACACCCCCCTCCTTGGGCTGGCTTCCCAGCTCCCAGCCTGGAGGAGCAGCAGAACCCCACTTGCCCAGCCCAGGGGAGTATGCTTTTAGGAAATGGGCTGAGTGAACAGACAGCAGCTGGTGGGAAGAAGTGAATGGACCTCCAGGGGTTTTTAAAAGGGCCATGCATTCAGCTCTTATCTCTGTGCTCACACAGTTGGAACAGGCTGGCAGCAGGGCTGAATAGTGAGTAGGGAGGAACAAGTCCTGAGTCTGTCTGTGTCCTGCTGTCTTTTCCTTGGCCTGGAAGCCCCATTTCCTGCTCTGCCCTTGGGTTTTCATGCTGTTTCTAACCGTTAAAAGTCAAAGATTTGGCCTTTCTGTTACCTTATTTGTCTCCTGGCTGTTTCTGGACTCTTTCTACTCTTGAGATGCTCTCTGTCCCAATGGCACTTGGCTTTAGACCATCTATCCAGTTAGCCTATCAGGGGAGTCGGGGCTGGTTGTAGAGGGCTTTACATTAAACAGGCCAACCTCTTCTTCTCAAACACCCGTGTTATTTCTGCTTGTTTATATGCAGGCATATGTCAAATATATTTTTAAAGGGGAAAATGCTGCACATGACAGGATATGAATTTCTTCATATCCTAAAGGAATTAATGTTTTGTTTTTCAGCAATAAAAATTTAATTATAGTGGAAGAGCAAAGTGTATGTAGATGAACTGCAATAACAAGAAACAATATAGGTGGACTACTCATCAAATGGTTACTTCATTAAAAACATTCATTTAAAAAAAAAAAACCCCACACATTTATATTTGAAAGTAACAGAAGCATACTTTGGAAAAATATGCATGTGAACTCCTGGTATTTTTATGAGATAGATGTAGAAGTGAACATCGATATAAAAGTGTATATATTACACACACACACACACACACACACACACACACACACACACATGCTTGTAAATTTCTCTGTGTGACTATATTAGTTTCCTGTGGCTGCTATAACAAAAGTACCACAAACTTAGTGGCTTAAAACAGAATTGGTTCCCGTAAAGTTCTGGAGGCCAGCGGCCCGAATGAGTGTTGGGGGCTGAAGTCAGAGCCAGCAGGGCAGTGGTTCCTGCGGAGGCTCTAGGGGAGAATCCGTTCTTTCCCATTTCCAGCCTCTAGAGCTGCCTTCCCTGGCGCTAGGCCCCTTTCTCCATCCAATAGCATGACATCTTTTCCCTCTGTCTGCTTTCCTCTTTTTTTGTGTCTCCAATCTTGGTCCCCAGGTAATCCAGGATAATCTCATATCAAGAAATGAAATCACATCTTCAAAGTCTTTGCCATATTAAACAACATTCACAGGTCCTAGGGATTAGGATGTGGACATCAGGGGAGGCCCTTATTTGGCCCACAGCAAGTGTGGGTACACGAGTGTGTGTTTTAATTCCATATCTCTGTCCCTTGAGCTGGTCTAGGAACAGGTATCCCCTTACTCCCCACCTCCTCGCTCCCACCCAAACAAATAGCAATGAACATACATGACCACCCAGTGTCTAGTTCTTGTATCTAAATCCCAAATGATATTTTTCACTAAAAGGGACCAAGTTTTTATTATATTATATTATATTTTATTTATTTATTATTATTATTTTTTTTTTTTAAAAAAGGCAGATTCCAAAGAGAAGAAGCCGGGAACATCCTTCTGTCCCAGAAAGTAAAGAAGTATTCAGAGAATAATGAGAACTATGAATAAGACACCGAAGCCAGCTAGAAAGAGCTTCCATGGGCCAAAACTAGGCATTTCAGACATTGAAATAAACAATAGAGTAGTGGATTACAACCCCTTGGATAAAATAGTAAATTCAGACCATATTGATAAAATAAACTTATAACTTGAAAGTCCAATGAGGAGCAGGATATTTCCAGTTTCCAAGTGTCTTTCCATAGCATCTAATTAATAACAAAGAGGAAAAGTTTAAGTTGGCAGTGGAGAAGCTTGGCACATCAAAGTGACTGTGATCAGTAATGGGACAGATTAAAGTCCGGGGCCTCTAACAGGATGCAAAGAGAACACCATCATTTTTGTGGTAGCCCTGTAAAAGATGCATAATCTGAATTTAATCATGAGGGAATGTAAAGACAGACGGAAGTTGAAGAATATTCTATGTGATTGGCCTGTAATTTTCCAAACACACTGCAGTCATGAAAGTTAAGGAATGTAATGTGAGGTCTAAACAGCCAGTTGGAAGTTCTAAGCTTCACTGTAGGAGGATCTGGGTAGGCATTTGTTAGTGGCCCCTGATTTAATCATTTGGGTCTTCTTGGGCTGGTTGCATTCTGCAGAGGAAGCTCTTCAGATCTCCTGCCCGCAGGGTCAAGTGCAGGGTGCATCCCACAGGCTGCAGGAGAGGAGTCAAAGCATCTCAGCCAGCAAACGAACCCCCATCCCCTGAGGCACCCTTGTATCAGCTGTGCCTGGTGTCCCCAGGCCTGGTGCTCTCTGGAAAATGTCCTCAGTGAATAAAGCTTGTGCCTGGTGGGAGGTGCCATTGCCTAATGAAGTAGAGGAAGGGATCCAGGATCTAACATAACCATTCCTTTTCACCAGTCCTACTTGTGTCAATCACTCCTTTCCCCACCTCCCCTTTGTGGTGTGACTTGGATGGGTTCTGTATTCCCTTTTACCAGGATTTAAATTACTTGTCATCTTAAACAACTTCCCATCTTAAACAATTTCCTATTCATTTAGCTTTCTTTACCGTGTCACTTGACTAGACCACATTAATAAAGTACCACAGACTGGGTAGCTTAGACAGCCAGAACAAAAATAACTTCCACACACCTGGAGCCTAGAAGTCCACGATCAAGCTGTCAGCAGGGTTTGTGCTTTCTGCAGCCTCTCTCCTTGGCTTGCAGATGGCCACCTTCTCCCTCTTTCTTCATCTGCTCTTCCTTCTGGGTGTCTGTGTCCTCATCCCTTTTTATGAGGACACCAGTCATATTGGATTAGGCCTCATCCAAATGACCCTATAGATCTGCCTCCAGATTGAATCGCATTGAAGACACTGGGCTTAGGGCTTCGATAGAGGAATTTCTGGAGACACGTTTTAACCCTGTCACACTAGCCATTGCCTTTCGTAGCTTTGGCACTGAGCTGCGCTGAGTTGCCAGTTCCTGCCTGTGCTCAAGTTGGCATGTGTGGTGCCCTGTTTCCATGGGCCTGACTTCTGCTGAGTAACAGGAGCAGATGGGGTTGGACAGGGCGTGGAGTGTGAATGTTGAAATCAAGTGTTAGATTTGAGTGAGTGAGCTATTATTGTTTCAATATATATATATATATATATATATATATATATATATATATTTCAGTTTTCCTTTTTGTTTCAATATTTTTATTGATTTCAGAGAGAGAGAGAGAGAGAGAGAGAGGAACATCAATGATGAGAGAGAAGAGAGAATCATGGATTGGCTGCTTAGAGGGATGTTTCAGTCCTTTTCTGCCTCACATCTTTCCAGATTCTGAGTATTAGCTCCTTAGAGGGCCTTCCCTAAGTAGGGCACTAAAAAAAAAAAAAGTTCCCCTTTTTACCAGCTTGAAGTTCCCTAAATATAAAAATTTTAATATTTCTTCTCTACTGGGGAAAGGGTAATTAAAGACCTGTGATTATCAAGCATGTATCTCTAAAAGGAGTGCACCTTCCTCTCCCCCACCCCCCAAAAAAATGAATTTTACACATTATGAACATTAAGTGATTATAGAGCTATTTTAAGAAATTGCCAATCTGAATATTGTATAAGCTGGCTTTTTGATATCGGAGTACAAGAACAAAGAGAGGCCTATCCACTGAGCCTGCAGTAGGGTGAGGGGTTCATCACAGCTCAATCATGGGCTTTCTCACTACTGTCGCATCATTTCTGCTACAAAGGACATGTCCTCAGTTTCCCTCTTTGAAGTAGTTGGCTGGGTGCTGATAAAGCTCTTCATACCCCTCACAGACAGGGGAACCGTGTCTGATTGAATTAGAGAGAGGGCAGGAACCAGTGTGGGTCACGTCTGGACTGGAGAGAAGCAGAGTAATGAATCCCTGGTTGGACGAGGCCAACTTTCTTTATGTTTTGAAATTTCTATTTTATTACTTATTTATAATTAATCCTAGGCCAGAGAAGAGAGGCCTTCTGCTTTGTGTCATTTGTCTAAAGCAACGAGGAAGAAGGCTGTAGGAATTCAGAATCAAGGCGTGAACTACTTTCACAGTCACCTGTGTAATTTTTCTTTAAAATAAGGAACTTTTAAGAATGCCAGAGGACGCTGGGGCAGATGCTCAAATTTAGGACAGTTGGAGTAAATGGGATGCCCAGCACTTCTTTGTCTTGTTTGGCTGAATGGGGTTCTGGATTAAATAAAAAATATGGTTTCTTTTGGGGAAAGACTCCTTTTGTTGGCACACTTTAGCAGATCCCACACATAGCAGAAATGTTTTTGCTCTGGGTTGTGGGTAATGATAATCGTTTGGAAAATGATGTGTCTGAAAATAAAACACAGGTGTCTAATTGAAAAAAAAAAAACTAGTGTAAACCTAATTTTAAAAAATTCTACCCTAATTCTGCCTTCCAATCAAGCCAAACTTTTCATACTTTTTAAATTTCCTCATCCACATTCATGTGTTTATCTTTTCTTACATAGTTGTAATCTTGCAGTCATCCTCTTGCGTTCTGATTTTTGTCAGGGCATGTTTTCATGTTTCATGTTTGGTGGCTGTAGCAAGTCATTGCTTAACCAACTTTTTTTTTTTTTTTTGGTCCGTTTGCTTTAGGATGTATTTTAATTACGCCTTTGTTTTCTGATTTGCAGGCAGAGACGTTTGTTTGGGTTAACAATGCATCAGCACATTCCCAGAGTGTTGCCAAGGCCAAATATGAATTTTTATTTGGCAAATCTGAAGAGAAAACTCCAGATACTAGTAAGTGTTTCCCTCCCCTCCTCTTTCAGGTCACTGATTAAATTAGAGGGTGAAAATCTCAGGAGCGGGGAATGCTTCAAGCAGCTATTTGAAATCACCTAGAAAAGACTGCAAGGGTCACATCCTGCATTTCTGAATTCTACATCTGAGGGAGTGTTAGCATGTCTCGGGAATTAGGGAAGGGATATTGCGTGTGGTTAGAAGCCTGGGCTCTGGAGCTAAACTTTTGGAATTTGAAACTGGCCTTGAAACTTATGAGATGTGTGACCTTGAGTAAGTTATCTAATGTATAACTTAGTTTTTCTACTTGGAAAAGAAGATTATAGTGAAGCCTGTCTCAGAATTCTTTTGAGGATTAAGTAAATTGACATATATAAGGCTCTCAGAACCACACTCTGCATGTAGTAACTGCTGTAAAAGTGTTGGCTGCTGCTATTATCATCATATCTCTGACCTTTGAAGTTGATGTTCAGAAGGACAGACCTGACTTTCTCTTTATCTGAGACTGATTTCTGTTTTGAGTGGACAAGGAATGTGAGCTAATGTAGCTGTTGTTCAGTTGAAAAAGTCAAATACTTGTACATTTGATATATGTTAGGTAGGATTATACAGTGGACCCCATAATATTTGGGTATATCAAGAATGCAGTGTATACACAGCCATTTAATAATCCCTTTTCCTTTATAATAAATCCCTATTAGATATTCCAATAGTTGGGAACTGTTAAGAAAGTTTAAAACAGCTAAGTCAATTAAAAAAAAAATCATTCAGCTTTTATTACAAGTCCCAATTTGCTATTTATCATGTACCATAAATCCCTAATTGTTCTGGGCTTTCGGTTTGGGGCACTTAGTATCTATTCCCTATTTCTCAGACAGGAAGTACTGATTAGACTCACTCCAATACTCCTTCTTGACTTAGCCTTAACTTGGAATGTGACATGGTGATTTTGTGCTGATTAAGCTTGTTTTGACTTGGATAAAACACGATTTTTACGTTGATATGTAAATACCTGCATATCCTCTTCTTACTGGTTGGTGGAGTTTGGTTCTTTTTTACTCATAGGTTTTGAGTATTTTTCCCTGTGTACCTGAGGAAAATCAAAATGACATTTAACCCCCCTGTTCCTTATTTGCCCTGGTATAAATGGTTGGTATTGTTTGCTTTGTGTCATGTGATTCTGCAGGTGCGAATATATGCATGCATTTATTGAACAAATGTATTTAATGAGCACTGATGGGCTGGGCACTGTGAGGGTACGAAGTAGAAGATGCAGTTCTTGTGCTTTAGCTATTTCTTTGGCCGCTGGGAAACGTGTCTGAGAGAGACTGAAGGAAGGGGAATGCTCACTGTCAGCTGTGCTTGTGGGGGCTTCCTGGAGGAGGGGGAAGTTGAATTGGTTCTTAATAACTAGGATCCTGATAAATAGTCTGGGACAGGGCAGGAGGAAGGGTGTGGTTGCAGAAAACATAAATTGTTTGAGGAGCAGGGAGGAAACTAGCCTGATTGGTTAGTAAAACATATCAGTGAGAGATAAGTTTAGAAAGACAACCTTTAAGAAAGGGGCAGCCCTGGGCAGTTTGGCTTGTTGGTTAGAGTGAAGGGTCTAGAGTTTGATTCCCAGTCAAGGGCACATACCTGAGTTGCATCCCGAGCCCCTTTCAGGGTGCGTGTGGGAGGCAACCAGTCAATGTGTCTCTCTTACATCGATGTTTCTCTTTCTTTCTCCCCCTCATCCCTCCCTTCCACTCTCTCTTAAAATCAATGGAAAAAACATCCTTGAGTGAGGATTAAAAAAAAGAGATAGGTGCAGAATCTTGTAGGGCCTTCAAAGGCAGGGAAAAGGAATTGCATTTTATTCAGTTATGCAAAAAAGAAGTACCAAGAACTGGTTTAGATAGATAAATCAAGATGGATTGATCAACAGGTGATGTCATCACAAGATGGCTGCCACAAGATGGCCATGCACACAGTGGAGGCAAGGCCTGTTGGCCATTCCGTGCAGTGAGACCTGGGGCTCCCGAGGCTCTGTGTGGTGCACATGAGGCAGGTCCCAGCATCTTTGTCACCTAGCATGAAGGAGGTGGGTCCTGGCAGAGGAGGCAGGTTATAGCAGGGGAGGGTAGTTGGGGGCGATCAGGCTGGCAGAGGGGCAGTTAGGTGTCAATCAGGCCGTCAAGGAAGCAGTTAGGGGCAATTAGGCAGGCAGGCAGGGAGGTGAGAGTGGTTAGGAGCCAATGGTCCCGGATTGTGAGAAGGAATTCCAGTAGTCGGACATTCCCTGAGGAGTCCTAAGAGTCCCAGATTGGAGAGGGTGCAGGCTGGGTTGAGGGACACCCCTAACACACACAAAGCCCATGCACAAATTTTGTGCATCGGGCCTTTAGTAGGAGGATATAAGATGCAAGTTTTAATTGACTTTGGAAAGTTTTTTTCTATCTTCACAAAAAAATGATGGCACATTTTTATCATTTAAAAAATACTCTTGAAGTTTACTTATATAGACCATTCATCTGTCAACAAAACACTGCTCACTCTTGAAGACCATCAGGAAAGGCAGTAGAGAGAGTAGGATAGTGCTTCTATTTGAATTTGATTGATAGACATACCTCTTCACACACAGGATTTTTTAAAAAGTGGGTTAAATAAGTGGATTTGAACTATCTTAGCGCTCCAGAAACAGCTCACTGGAGAAATGGAAATGCTGACAGTGACTTTGAATGCATCTTCCAGTGATACTCAGGTGGCATCCCTGAGATCAGTGAAGTCATTGGGCTCATGATCCCCAGTTAGTCCCAAGGAAAGTGACAGCCTGAGACTTTGCCACTGAGCAGGGACTTCACCTGGGGTGCAGGTGGGAGTTCCAGGGAAAACAAGTCAAGATTATTTGCAAGCTGTTGCTTATTGCAGGGATCTTCAACCAGCCACCACTGCTTAGAGTGTTGGATGGAGCATGGGAGAACATGTGAACAGTAGGAAGAATCCTGTGGCTGGGAATTAAAATCTGAATTCTCACTATCTGTTCATCATCAATACAGTGCAAGAAAGAGGGGCCATGCTTCTCTGGCATCTCTGTTCTCTGCTGCTCTCTGGGGGTGCAGCTTTCAGGAGCTTCCCCGGGGCTAGCGCAGTGGTTGGCAATGGCTGAGAGGCTCTGGGCTGAGTGTGACATCATTGTGCTGTGACTTAATGAGGAGGTGACGAGTCGCCCGTGGTAGGTTCACCTCTTCCATTCCAGTCAGCTCTCAGAACATTCTTGGAACTGCAGGGAAAAGGAGGGACTGTAGGAGCCTCACCTGGGCTAAGCATAGGCCTGCATTCGTCAGGGGATAGGTGAGAGTGCCTTCCGGACTTCCTCTGACCACACCTTTCCTGTCTGATTGCTGCACTCAGGTGGCCAGCATGGCTTTCTGAACTATTCAGGTAGAATACACGGGCGGCTTCACTGTGGGAAGGTGCACTCTTTGAAGTGTTCCTAAGGAAGCATCAGGTGGCCAGGGTCAGTCAGTCTCTGTCTTTTGGTCAAAGTCCAGAAGAAAGAAATGCTTGAGAGAGCCTCTGTCCCTCCCTCAGCTTGTAGAGGGAACAGGTGACTTACCCAAGTGTGTGAGGAAGTGACAGGCCTCTGGATGCTAAGGAGAAGAACTAACTAACTTCTTCTGTGAACAGTGGGAAGTTTACAAAATCTCACTCTCATGTTCTTTATTGATTTATACTTTTTAAAAATAAAGGAAATGGACTTCAGGGATATTAAAGAATGTGCCTGAGGGCACATGGTTTAAATGGTGGAGGCCAGGGGAGGAGGAGATGGGGCTGGGGTTTGACACCCTGGTTTTATAGAATTGGGGGGCGAGGGTGGGATGGGTCACTCAGGTAGAATTGAAACCCAAGCCTGCAGCACAGATGGGGTGGAGGTCCAAGTGTATCTTCACTTGAATCTAGAAAATGACACAAAACTGGTGTTGGACTGGTAAAAAAAAGCCTACGAGTTATTGCCAACGTCAATGCAAAACCACCCTGTAAAAGGGACCCTTTCACAGCTCAGGACACAGAGGGCTCCTCTATGAATAAATAAATCAGTAGTCCCTAAAATCTGTGAGCTCACAATAAAATGGTATAAATGATAAAAAGGAAGGAAATTCCATGAGAGGAAGAGTCAGCATATACAAGTAGAGAAACAGAACCAAGGACTAAAGATAATAGAATATTCTGAAATGGTAAAATTGGTTTGTTTAAAAGATAAAAGAGGGAAAAGAAACCATTGTGATTAACGAGGAAAGTAGGAAGTAGAGATATGTCTATTTGAACAAAAACAAAATATAATGTACAGAAAATGGAAAATACGGATAGTGAAATTAAAAATAATGGTTGGGTAAGTACATTATTGAGTTTACATTTGGTAGGGACCAAAACTCCCTGCTTTCTCTCCCCCCACCTCCCACCCCCCACCCCCCACCCCCCACCCCCAACCCTCTCACTGCTTATCAGATGTTATCTGTAGAAAAATGAAAAGGAAAAAGAGCATCTGTAACTCCAAGCAATATGTTCTCATTTTGGTAATGTTTATTTCTGATTTTTATTGGTGTGTTTCACACCCAAAAGTGCACACCCATTTCTTCATTATTCAGTAAACATCTGAGGGGTTGAGCTGTGCTGGGCATTGTTCTAGGTCTTTGGGATAGAGCACTGAACAAAACTAAAATCCCTGTTTAACCAATTGCCTAACAGGTAGATTGCGCCAGTTCAGACTTCCCTCTGCGGTGCCTCAGCGCCCACCTCCCACACACTCGTCCGCGCTGAGTAATTATTAACCTGTGCCGAACGTAATGGGGGAAAGGGACGGATTAGCCTTCAGTAAGCATTTGTTTTATTTATTTATTTTAAATGCAAATTTGAAGTTGTTATTACCAAGTAATACTTGTGTATAACCTGAAAAATGTAAGTTTTACCAAAAGTGTGCGTGGCCAAAAGCGAGAGTCACTTGCTTCACCACTTCCCAT